TTTGAAAAGTAAGCGTTCCTTATTCAAGCCGCTCCCTGTACGCATCGGTCGGAAGAAGTACAACCTGCAGGATTAAAAGGTGTGGGCCCGGGAGGTCGCGCGAGACGTGCTGATCCCATTAGGCCCTGGGGCCCCAGTACACTGTTCCAGGGACCAGCCCAGGGATTCTCCGGTCGCTCAAGAAGGCGACTGGAGAGTGTTTCTGGAGAAGGTATTGGGCGGGATCGCGATTCTCCGGTTCCTCTATCCTCCCCTGATGGGGCGAGAGCCGGAGAGTAGCGATTCCGCCCAATACGTCCTCAAAAACCTCTCTGGTCGCTTTTCGGAGCAACCGGAGAACTTCTCTGGCAACCGGAGAATGGCGATTTCGCTTAACTTCCTCGGAAAGAATTCTCTGGTTCCATTTCCAGCCACCGGAGAATGGTGGTTTCGCTTGGGGCATCCTCGAAACCATGATTGTGGACCCGATGCATACGGGCAGACCTTGACGATTCCGCTTAAGACTTCTACCACGCGTATCGCACAATCTGACGTCGCCAGAACATTCAGATGCCGCGCTGGACCTCCGCGTTCAGTTGCGCGTGCACCAGCACGCCGACATTGCGTCCATCGGTCTGCGCGCGAGCAAGCGCGGATATGAGTGAATCTGACCATGCCGCTTGATGATGAGTGGATCTTGGCGTGAGAGGGTCTGGGTGGGTCGAAGTCCTCTCGAACGTGGTCCGCAATTTTTCATCCAGCAGGTAGTAGGTAGAAGCATGAAGTAGGAAGGCGGATAAGTAGATTGGGTTCGGGCCCGCCCAAAAAGCAACACACAACAGCCATACCAGATCAATGCTTGAGGTAGGAAGGCGCTCGACGTAGATAGGGTTCTGGAAAGCCAAGAACACCTACTCCGAGTTTCTTGATTAACGTCGGGGGGAATCACCCCCGCCGACAGCCCCACATCGACCCGCGTCGCGGGCAGTCATCGCGCGCCGAAGGCGCTCCGAACCCTGTCGCGGCGCGACAACGAGGCGAGGTTGACACTCGTCGGGGGGGGGGCCCCCCACGCTTATTAAGAAACCCACAGCATCGGACTATGTTTTCCCCCAGCCGTTATGGAAACCCTTTGGGAGCACGTGGGGGAAAAAAAGAAGAGGGGGCGGGGGAGGAAAGAGAAGGAGGAGGCCTCTTCTGAGCCTTTATGGGCACGGGCTTCCTTGGGGGCCTCTTGGAAGTTTCTTGGGGGCTTCCTTGGCCTCTTGGAGGCCTGTTGGAGTACTTTCAACGACCGATGGGTACCGTCTCCGCGGGGAGCGGGGCGGACCTGGGCATCCTCGGGATCCCCGCGCACAGCCCACCGCCGGACGACAGACGGCCCCCGCGGCCGCCGCGTTTCCCCCGCGGCGGCGCCCCGCCCCCCGGGAGAAGGGGGGGGGGGCTGGCCCAGCATCTGAGGGGCAACGATAAAAGGGGGAATGGGCACAATGCGTCGACCTGGAATCGGCGATACATCGCCGATAGATCGGCGATAGGCCCCCGATAGTGAGCCCGCACCTTCCTGGGCAGGCTGGGGCTATCGGCCCCCTATCGGCGATCAGTGGGCGATTGGGGGGGCCTCCCTATCGTTGCCCCTGAGCATCGGGGGCGAGCGCGCGACGGTCGAACCGCTGCATGCCTTGGATTAGGTCGGGCATGTACCCTTGCAGGCGGAACATGGACGATTTGTTTCAACCTAGTTTATAAAAAAAGGCCAGAGCATATTCGAAAAGTGGTAGAACAAATCGTCCCCAGCCTATTTTTTTACTGCTGTTGAATATTCCTCCCCCGACTTCATTGAGCCTTGGGACCAAACCTGCGCGATCACCGAACGTCGGGTTCGTGTCGTGCCGACAACGGCGTTGGTTTCCGACACCGCGGGGATCGTTCAAGTTGAACGATCCCCGCTGCCTTGTGATTGTAGCGCCAGGCCCCGCGCGCTCCTCGAGGCGGGAAAGCAAGCTCTACACAAAGGAACCGCGCGTGCTCTTGTGGGGGCGGCGGAAACGATCGTACACAAAGGAAATTCCTTTGTGTGCCCCCCCGCGTTGGCAGTGTTACCAGACCGCACACAAAGGAATTACACGAGACTTCGTGGCACACACAGGAATTACAGCAACGCCCTTTGGGTTGCGCTCTTCGCGCGCGGTGACAGTTCCGAGCTGGAAAGGAAGGGGGCGGGACAAGGCAAAGCAGGGGAAGAGGAAAAAGAAAAGGAGGGCGAGAAAGAAACGAAGGAAGCAACGGAAGGAAACCAGGATGGGCGCAAGCGAAGCTAACACTGCGCGCCGAGACAGGTGTTCGTTCGTTCGGTTGGCCGTGCGGCAGATGAATAGAAACACATTTGTTTGCTGCCTATCGAAGGGACTTCTTGGGAATGAGACTCGCGCTCTCTTCCCAACCCCCTTTCCCACACCCCGTTGCGAGCGCGCGACGATTTGTTCTGTCCCACGGGCAGAGGACTGCCAGTTGCTGGTGGGCGACCTTTCCACCCGTCACGCGTTCCGAACACATGCGACCAGCTAAACGCACTTGCCACGCAAACCGCCAGCTCCAAACACCGACGCCACCCCGATCCCCGCATCCGTGCCAGGCACCCTCTCAACGACGCCCCCTTCCGGCGTAAAACCAATAAAACCCTTTGTGTTTATGTGCTTTCTCCTGTTCTGATCAACCTTGAACGATCGGCCGCTTCCGAAACGTCCAAACCGTTCCACATCGAACGATTCTGGGTCGCCCGCGGCGTTCGAAGATGAACGCTGCTGGTCGACACGACATGGACCTACGAGCGCGTTTCTTTATTTTTCGGCGATGCTGGGCATTATAGGGGGGGGGGCAGGGGGGGGGGTATAATGTAACTCCTCCCCCCCGCCGTGCGCACGGCGGCGGTGCCCGGAGCGCACTGGGGGGGGGTGGCGGGGAGTTACGTTACAGGGGGGGGGGCGGGGGCTGTAATGCCAATTCTGCCCCAAGCAAGAAAGAAGCACGTTCTACCGAGCTCGATGGGAACACGGCCAGAAGCTTTCGGGCTCAGCTTGCCGCGGCGGCGGTCCCCCCGGCGGCACGACACACAGGGGGGCAGGGGAGAGCGCTCGGCACACTGCTGCTCGGCGATCGGGACGTGCTCTCAGCGCGTCGCGCCGCAGCGTGGTGGGCCAGGACTCTTGGCAGGTGGATCTCTCAAGCTCTCCGCCGCCTCTGGTGGTGGGCGTTGCGAGCAGGAGCACAGCAAAGCTACAGGAAGGCGCGGCACTGACAGTGTAGCTCCGCACAGATGACAAATATTAACGAGCCGGAAGACGGCAAAGCCCAAGGAGAGCGAGGCATTGACAGTGCAACTCAACATTGACACGGTGGTGGCCAGGGAGCCCCCCGCGGTGTGACACACTGAGCAATCGTTTCTGAAACATGAACATACGCATGAACACTACATACACAATAACATGAACACAAAGATCGTTCCGAAAGATGGCACAATCATTAAAAACTCGGAGGTCCGCGCGGATTTCTTGGATCCGCGCTGGACCCTCCTCCCTGCCGCGCGGAGCGCGCCAGGGGCGGCGCCAGAGGCGCCGCCGGGGGGCCCGAGCGCCGATCCGAGAAATCCGCGCGGACTTCCGGGTTTTCATGTTTATGTAATTGTTCGTTCCTCTAGACACGCTGAGTAGTCGTTCCTGACCGTACGCTGCGCTCGCTGACCGACCTGAAGACGTCGGCCAGCACGACTCGCGGTCATTGGAAGGGCCACCGAGGATGCTTCCTCAGGTCGAGAAGTGGCAGAGGCAGAGATGCTAACGATCTTGTTACCGGGGAGAGATGCTGGTCAAGAAATTGGCAGGTTGTGGCTGCGATCGACGATGGTTGACGAGCCGAATGCGTTCGAGCCACGCTGGCAACATCAACATGCCAATGGATGTTGGAAGGACTTTACGGTCGACGCCCATTTCAAGTGCCAAGTTAGGGATGCGTGCGAAGTCCTTGATCGACTGGAATGATGGCTGATTGTAGAGCCGTCGACGTGTGGCCAGACATCGCTGGGTACATTCGCGATAGGAACAACAATCGGATACTGTAGCCAAATGACCTGGAGGTGATTAACATGCGTATGGGCCCGCATATGCAACCAATGGGCTCGCTGGACCGCGCTGAGATATTTCTGAGGTCCCCTCAGCGACACGTGTCCCGCGCCCCCGCCACCCGACTTGCATGCCACTTGCCATCTCGCCAGGGATGGGCCCGCCGATGTGCAGGCGAACGAGGCGGTCAGGAACTTGTGCTCGCCGTGTCGCGCCGGCGGCCCCGGCGACGTGCTGTGCCGTGCAGTCTGATGGCGTGCCGCCGAGCTCCGCCGGGCGGACGGCTGGGAGCAGCTCGGGACGCTGGCGGTCGGGAACCGGTTGGCGTGCCGCGCCGAGGCGATGATGGCCAACGAGCCAGCGCATCGACACGCTAAGCCAAGCTTTCCTGACCCTGCGCAGCTCGTGGCCCCTGGGCTGTCCCCTGAGGCTGTGGGTTGGGTCAGGTCGGCCAACCCTCTCCCTGCCCCCATGACACGGTCCTCCCCCCTCCCTCCTTTCTCCTCATCTCCTCCACATCCCTGCCCAGTGTTGTCCGCCTTTTCCCACTCCTCCTCCTCCTTCTCCTCGTCCTCCTCGTCCTCCTCGTCGTCCTCCTCCTCCTACTCATCCCTTTCCTCCTCCTCCTCCTGCTGCTCCCCCTCTCTTCCTCCTCATTCCCTCCTCCTCCTCCTCCTCCTCGGTCTCCTGCTCCTCCTCCTCCTCCTCCTCCTCCTCCTCCTCCTCCTCCTCCTCCTCCTCCTCTCTCTTCCTCCGATCCTCTTCCTCATCCTCCTCCTACTTCTCCTCGTCCTCCTTCTCCTCCCTTCTTCCTCCCCCTCCTCTCCTCTTCTCTCCTCTTCTCTCCTCGTCTCCTTCTCCTCTTCCTGTCTCCTGCTGACGCATCGGCGGCGTCCCCAAGGCCTCGTCGCCGCCTGCGCACGTGAGAGGAAGCGGCCCCTCGTAGCCCGCGGGGTAGAAGGTTCCCCCGAGATCCTGTGGCAACTGCACGGGTCCCGGGGGGGGGGGGTCAAGGAGGGGGGGAAGAGGGAGAGCAGGAGGGCGTCCATGCTCAATCCACGCCCAGTGCATTAATTACCAAACAGGCGACAGGTCAAACCAGAGTTCGTGCCCCAACTGGCCAAGATTCTCACCAATGGTGCTGGGACGCGACGAAAGTTCACTCACGCACCGTAACGCCGAAGCCGAGCTTTTCGCGCCGGTATTGAATCTGTCTATGATGTCTATGATGTATGCTGGTGCCTGTCTCGCATCATGATCGAACGGGTGAGTCATCTGCGCGGTGGCATTCCTGACCCCATCGCGCACTCAGACGACCGGTCGCGCCTTGCCGCACATGTAGGCGACCGAATCTGGGACACCCGAACCCAGAAACATTTCCATCTCTTGGGGGGCGCACCTTGCACTTCCGCCGGCTTCCGCCGAGCCGCCCCCGTTTTACTTCCGCCGCCCTTCCGCCGAGGCAGAGATGCCAGCTCGGTCGATCCTCGAGGGCGAGGCCCTGCCTGGAGCGCCCCGCGTGCGTGGCTGCAGGGCTCGCGAGGCGTCCTTTGCTGTGTGTGTGCGCAGGTGCTGCGTCTCCCGTGCCCCGTGGTCTGCCACGCGTAAGTAGCCATGGCGGACAGAATTCGGCATCGACTTGCCGACCCTGTTCCACACCACGCTCCTTACGGTATGAGGAGGAGGAGGAGGAGGAGGAGGAGGAGGAGGAAGATGCGCCGTCGGCGCGCGCAAAGGTTTTTGACACCGCGTCGATCGTTCAACATTGAGCCGGTCGCAACCCCGATCGTTCAAGGCTGAAATCCGTCGGGTCCCGTGTTCGATCTCGAACGCCTTCGCTGCAGTCGCTGGCGCGCCATCGCCGCACGAACCTAATATTCTATCGTACACATCCGTGCAATAGGCTACCCCAGCCTTCCGCAGGGACGGAGGGGGGAAGGGAGGTAGAAAAGGACATCGGGCATAGAAAGGGGGGGTGGGTGGGTGGAGGGAGGGAGGGAGCGGGACGGGAGGAGGGTGGAAGGGAGCAGGGCCCAGGGGAGACGGGGAGCCGGGGCCAACATGGCCGACTCCAGAACTCCTGGATTCGAACATGCTGACGTCTCACGCTGACTCCCGCCAGCTTCCGCCGTGGGGTCCGCCGCAAAATTACTTCCGCCTGCCGCCGACGGCGATGCGCGCCGGAAGCGATGCCCCTTTTTCTTCTGGAACGCCCCAAATGGCGGAAGAAAGGGAGGAAAATCGCAAGCACCCCAGACTACCCGCGAAGCTCCGCTGTGGCCACGAGCTTGTGGTTGTTGGACGCGGCCGATCCCCCAGCGACGTAATCGAAGATCTCGAACTTGAGGGAGTCGCCTGGCTGGTAGCCCTGCATTTCGTTCTCCTCGGCTGGGGCGAAGGAAGAAAAGGATAAGGACAACACTGGATGCTGATGAGGCGGACAACAACGGATGCTGATGAGAAGGGTGAGGATAGGGACAACAAGGACCGAAGGTTGGGCAGGAGGGCGAGAAGGATGAGGGAGAGGAGGAGGAGGAGGCGAGCCTCAAGGAGTCCACAACTCCACCTGCAAAGCCGTGCCACGCTTCAGATGTAGGTCGTGACTCTGAGAGGGGAACTCGCACCCCCCTGGGGCAAGCGGCCCTGCGAGAAACGCTCGCTGAAGGCACGGGGAGTGCTTTTGCCCCCGCGACGCCCGCGACCCCCGAGCCTGCCCTGCGAGCCCCAGGCGCAGGGCCAGGCGAGTGTGCCGCCGGGCGTGAAGGCAGAACGCTTCATCTGCATGGCTTGCAGTCTCCCTCGTGCCCCCTGGTGCGCTCGAGCGGCGCTCCGCACCGATGCTGCCATCTGGCCTGAAACTGCGCCCGACGACTCGGGCTGGGAAAAACAACTCGCCGTTTCAAGCCGCGCGGCCTCCTGCTCTGACTACCTACCAGACCACCCCAACCCAACCCGAAGACCCGAGCTTCGGGTTGGGGGGGGGGCACGGCTCCCGAAGCGTGTTGACACGGAGCTCAACACGTAGATTGAACACGCAGGTCTGGCGCGATACGTTCGCCAACATGTGAACCAACACGTGTCGAGCCATCGCGCAGCGTGTAAACACACGGACGCTTTGAACACGGCGCGTACTGCGTTTCAGCACGGGCGTATCAGGGCAACTAAGCGTCGCAACCCGCAGTAGATTTGTCACGTGCGACTGTTTTGAGTCACCCTCCTGTCAGTGGTACAGTCAGATTTGATTTGACAGGACACGCGAGAGGACACACGGCCCTTCCGAGGGCCACATCGCCATACGAATGTAAGAAGGCATGAATCGCAAGGCACAGGACGCAAGGGTACCCTTAAGGTTGAGTTGGCAGAATCGACCTACTAATTAATCAAGGCCGACTGTATTCGCTGCCCCTGCCCTCTCTCGGCTCCGCAGCCACTCCTCCGTGCGCAGCAGGGCGGAGAGGGGCGGGCGCGCGCGGGCCGCCCACGCGGGCCTCTGACGGCCTCCCGCCCCCTCAGGGTGCCCCCTCTTCTTCCTCCTCCCCCTCCTCCTCCTCCTCCTCCTCCTCCTTTTCCTCCTCCTCCTCCTCCTCCTCCTCCTCCACTTCCCACTCGCTCCTCCGAGCTTTCCCCGCCAACCTCTCCTCTTCCCTTTCCTTGTGCGCCTCTCCGCCCACATCCTCCTCGTCCTTCCTCCTATCCCCACCCGTCCATCCTTCCTCCTACCCCCTTCCTCCCCCCCTTCGTCGTCGTCTTCCTCATCCTCGTCCTCCTCCTCCTCCTGCTTCTCCTCCTCCTCCTCCTCCTCCTCCTCCTCCTCCTCCTCCTCATCCTCCTCCTCCCCCCTCCCTTCCTCCCTTTTCCTCCTCATCCTCCTCCCTCCTCCTCCTCCCTCCTCCCTCCTCCTCCTCCTCCTCCTCCTCTTCCTCCTCTTCTCCCTTCTCCTGCTCCCCCCTTCCCCCCCCTTCGTCGTCTTCTTCTTCTTCTTCCTCCTCCTCCTCCTCTTTCTCCTCATTCTCCTCCTCCTCCTCCTCCCTCCTTCCCCCCCTTCCCTTCCTCCCTCTTCCTCCTCATCCTCCTCCCTCCTCCTCGTCCTCCTCCTCCCCCTCCTCCTCCTACTCCTCCTCCTCCTCCTCCTCCCTTCTCCTCCTCCTCCTCCTTCTCCTCCTCCGCCTCCTCCTCTTCCGCCTCCTCCTCCTCCGCCTCCTGCTCCTCCTCCCCCTCTCGCCCGACACCAGACCTCTCAATGGGATGAGTTTTGACCACAAGTTCGAACAGAGCTCGGCTGCGACGCCAGGCTTCCCAGAGGCTGACACGAAGCAACACCTCGATCCTCGAACGGGGGGAGTCTCCTCCTCCTCCTCTTCCTCCTCCTCCTCCACCTCCTGCTCCTCCTCCCCCTCCTCCGCCTCCTCTTCCTCCTCCTCATTCTCCTCCTCCTCCTCATCATTATCATCACCATCACCATCACCATCACCATCACCATCACCAGCACCAGCACCAGCACCAGCACCAGCACCAGCACCATCACCATCACCATCATCATCATCATCATCATCATCATCATCATCATCATCATCATCATCATCATCATCATCATCATCATCATCATCATCATCATCATCATCATCATCATCATCATCATCATCATCAGCATCATCATCATCATCATCATCAGCATCAGCATCAGCATCAGCATCAACATCATCATCAGCATCATCATCATCATCATCATCATCATCATCATCATCATCATCATCATCCCTCATCTTGGTTCTCCTCCTCCTCCTGCGCCTCCTCCTCCTCTTCCTCCTCGTCCTCCCTCATCTTGGTCTCTCCTCCTCCTCCTCCTCCTCCTACTCCTCCTTCTCCTCCTCCTCCTCCTGCTTCTCCTCCTCCTGCTTCTCCTCCTCCTCCTCCTCCTCCTCCCTCCTACTCCTCAACCTCCTCCTTCCCATCCCTCCTGCTTCACACGGTTTAGCGATTCTCGATCGAGCGTCCACTGTTGTCTTTGATGTGTTGGGTCGTGTACAACGCCTGCGATTCGCGATCTCTCGAGGGCGGTCCACGCGGGAAAGTTCTGGACCGAAGGGTCTCAGACTGTTGTTGCCGGTTTCCGGGGGCCTGTCTGGCCGAGTCTTCCTCGGACTCCTCAGGCAGCAGAGCATCTAGCGATCGCGAGTCCTAATGTCCTCGGGCGCCAGACGGCTAATGCTTCCCCTGACTGCCGGGGCCTCGTCTGCTGGCACAGCCAGCCGTCTTCCCAACAAGTGAGCTCGTGGACCTTGCACGCGGGGCTCCGTCGTGCGTCTGGCAGCTCGAAGGTGCGCCACTCACACTCTGGCGCAACGAACCACGGCAATGATCGACCAACTCCTCCTCCCGGCCCCACGAGCCGAGAAGGACTGGACGAACACACTTGTTTCGCCGACCGCTTCGACAAAGAAGCCCTCCAAATGCATGCTCAACATGATCCTGGAACCCGTGAGCCCCTGGAGGCCCCTCCTGTGGCCTCTTGGGGCTCTCCTGTGACCTCTTGGGGACCTCTTGGGGACCTTTTGAGGGTCTCTTTGGGGCCTCCTGGCCTTCGGATGCCGTCTTGGGCCCTTCCTGGGCAGTCGTGGGTCCCCCTTCGGGCGCTTTAGGACCGTCTTGGAAGTCTCCGGGGCCGTGATAAGCGAAACTCGGGCTGTGGCCCGAATAATGGGTGCCGTGCTGCCCGCTTGTTTCTGTGTTTGCAATTTCCTGAGCGCCCGAAGGTCCCGTAAGCGCGGCATACGGGTGCGGCCTGATGGCATATGCGTGGACTGCGTTGCCTGGTTCGGCGGCGAGCCCCGGGGGAAGTGAGAAGGGGCGGGCCTTCTCATACGGCTCGGAAGTCCCCCCGCCTTCTGAGACGTTCTCTGAGCCTCCCCCGAAGACACATAACGCTTCTTCTGAGAAGCCACGCCGCCTGCTGAGAAGGCCTTCTCCGTCTCACTTCCCCCTCCCGCTCGCCGCCAACTGATGCTCCAGGGGCATGCATTTGTCATGCTTGCCATCCGTGTGCGGCGGGCGGACGCGTGCGCGGCTGCTCCTAATGTGTCAGGGGTGCCAATGTGTCAGGGGTGCCCTGGAGAGAGGCCCAACTTTGCTCTGCCTGCGGCGCCCCATCAGAAGGACCACAAGTGGGTGTGCACACGCCTTTCGGGCGGCCCCAGTCTTGTGTGCTGTCGGCGATGTGGCACGCAAATTGTGGAACGCGTCAACCGCCAGTCAGAGAAGCCATGCCCAGCCGTGGACATGTTGTCTCTTCTGCCTCTCGGGGTCGCATCGGCCGAACGCTCTCCGAGGCCTCCGCCTTCAGTCGACTCGTACTGCCCCAGGTGCTGCGCTCCACATCTCAAGGGAGAAAAGGCGCGAGACGCTGCTGCTGACGCAGCAACAGCCCCGACGGGTTGTTTCTTCCAGCAGCCTTCGCAGGGCACCCCTGCCGGTGCACTGCTACCAGGGCTGGAAACTTTGAGGCGGCGTCTAGCAACACAAGAGACAGCATCAGTCTGACTCGTCATGTCGCTGTTTTCCTCCCAGCGGGCATCCTGACAAAATCTCCTCCTCCTCCTCCTCCTTCTCCTCCTCCTCTCCCTCCTATTGAAACAAGCAGGCAGATGGTAGAGCGCAGCACAAGCAAGTATCATCACATGCCGCGCCCGCAGCGCTCGAGCCTCGAGCCGGGTCGAGGCACGTGGTGCTTCCTTCCTTGAACCTCCTCCTCCCTTCTCCCTCCCCCTCCTCCCTCCTCCCTCCTCCTCCTCCCTCCTCCCTTCCACCCCTCCTCCCTCCGCAATTACTCAATATGAATACTACTCTCCCTCTTCCTCTCATGACGGTTTGAAAGTGGCCGACCCCCCCCGCGTACTGTTTTTTCACACAAGTTTCCCTGGAGTTGGGTTTTCGCCTGCATTTTTTTCAAAATGCTGCTCTCGCTGAGGCGCCGGCCCCATTTTCGGGCCCCACTCGTTCCGAATCGTGCTCCCGCTGCAGCGCTGGCCTCATTTCCGTGCTTCCGCTCGTTCCGAATCGTGCTCCCGCTGCAGCGCTGGCCTCATTTCCGCGCTTCCGCTCGTTTCGACTCGTGCTCCCGCTGCAGCGCTGGCGTCATTTCCCGTGCCATGCCACGGCATGCAATGCAATGCTAGGTTGATACTACGCTTTGCGGTGCTCTTCTACGCCATGCCATGCCGTGCTCTACAATGCATCGCGTGCCCTTTCGGGATCATTGCCCTGCTCGACATCCGACTGAGCGAGTAGAGAGGGGATCTGCGCCATGGTAAGGGATGGGAGGGAGGGGTAGGATGTCAGATATGACGCGAGCGCACCTAGCTTGTCCCTCCCCCCCTCCCCCTCCCGCTCCTGGGCCCGCCCCGCCCCCCTCCCTCCCCCCTCCTCTGCGTCCTCCTCCAAGCGCCCCCGCCCCCCCCCCCGCGAGCACACCCGGCGCGCGCCGGGCGTCGGCGCGCGGTCCTCGTTCCACATCGGGTCCGAGAGCTGATGGCCGCCGATCCTCGGGCGGGGGGCGCGGGAGGGGGGGAAGGTGAGGAGGATTAGGAGGAGGAGGAGGAGGAGGAGGAGGAGGAGGAGGAGGAGGAGGAGGAGGAGGAGGAGCAGGAGGAGGAGGAGGAGGAGGAGGAGGAGGAGGAGGAGGAGGAGGAGGGGGAGGGGGAGGATTAGGAGGATTACGAGGAGGACGCGGGGGGGGGGGGCGGGAGAGGACTGCAGCACACAGTCCACGCGTGTACAGTGAGGAAGCACGGTGCTGTGGACGGGGCAGGTATCAAGGGAGGTGAGCTTAACCTTCCTGCTGAGCTTGCCCGATCCCGCCCCCTCCCCTCTCCTGCCACTCCTCATCCTCCTCCCCTTCCTCCAGCCCCTCCTCCACCCGTTCCGACAGTATGTGCCCTACCCCTCCCAGCGGATTCAAGGGGGGGGGCGATTAACCATTGTCCCATCCAGAGTAAGGATGCAAGGGCTCTGGCAAGCCATGCCAACATTTTTCGAGCGGAGCGCGGCCAAATAAAGAGGCCAAGGACGGGCCGAGAGGCAAGGATAGGATGCACGGCTACCCTTGGAACATGGTTAATCCATAGCATCCGCGTTGACTGCACACATGCGATAAGACATATGGCTACGAGTAATATGCGGTCGGGAACTTTTGCTTAGCGTGTCGCCGCGGCGGCCTCAGCGACACGTTATCCCCTGCAAGCGGATAGCGTGTCGCTCCGCTACGCGGGGCGGGAGGCTCGGGAATGCGCGAGACCTTGACGCCTGGGGGCCGCGAAGTGGATAGCGTGTCGTGCCGTAGCGTGGCGGGCCAGAACCGGCGGCGCGACACGCGATACAAAAGTTCCTGACCGTACAGCATGCGCACACGATAAGACATCCTGCTACGGATATATCATCTTGGAGCGCATTCGTCGTCGATCTTGGAGGCTCCCAAGGTGCCCCAGAACTTTCATGGGTCCCTGGGGCCGTCGGGGCTTACGAGTTGTCCGCGCCTGCTGGCAGACTGGTGTCTGACTCGATGCCTACTGGGCAGTCATCGTGGTGCAGTGGGGGCCCGACCACAGTGAAACCTCCCACAAGACACCCAACCCTGAGACCCCAGAACGTCCATCGATTTTTGGTGCGGGAACGTCATGCCTTCCACAGCAAAGCCATCGACACCCATGAGACCCGGGGCACCCTGGAGGCAAGCAGGGTGCTTCTTGGCATGGGTCTCCACTGTAAGCAACGAAGGGGCTGTTCTGGCCAGGGCGCGTCTCGGCCACGAGAGGGTTCCACGACCCAGATCCAAGGAGCGGCACGAAAACCAGGGCCCCTTCTGTGGTCCTTTTTGCTCTGCGTCTTGCCTGCAGACGTAGCCTGAGTCGCGCCGATCCATCATAGTAAATGTCGGCGCGCGAGCTTTGCTTGAGGAAGGACCTCGCCACGATCGAGCAGTGGAGCGAGGCAAACGCGGCCCGACTGCAGAAGGGGAAGGATGGGAAGGAAGGACAGAGAAGGGGAAGGGAAGGAATGGGGAGTTGTTTGACTTCCGCAGCCGAATGCGACCCGTCGGACGCAGATGATGAACTGAACGACCCCATGAGCATGCTGAGGAAGCGCATGGGTGTGGAGACGGATGCATTCTCGAAACGCCATTCCAAAATGTGGCACAACCATTTTAAAACGCCGATGACTTCCACGTCGTTTTTCTCCTTCTCCCCCCGCTCTTCTTCGTCCCCGTCCTCGGCTTCCTCGTCACCTTCTGTGGGGAGCATCAAGAAACCCATACCGCGGGTGCGGTCTCACCAGGATAACCGCATGCCGATGATAATAAAGGGACCCCCCCCTTCAGTGTTTAGAGTTGATTATCGTCGCCCTATACAAAATTCAAATTGGGCGGCGAGCGCTGAGGCCGAACTTCATTATCACCTCGAAACGCTATGTTGAGATAGCAACATCAAGCGATGTTGATATAGCAACATCAAGCGAAGCGATCACACTTTTTCAGGATGTGTCAAGCGAAACCAATAATTTTGGGAGGCAGACTCAAACGAAACGAGCAATGTTCTTATTATTCTTCTACTTTCCTCTTCTTCTTTTATATTTCTATCTGTCCTCACGCTCGCCTGAACTTTTTTTATCCCTGGGGTTGATTATCCATGGAAAATGAAGCACATGAGCTACCCTACACGAGCACTTAAAACAATCAATTTTCATAAAGCGTTTGTAAATTAAACTTGGTAGATTTGGAACTTTGGATTCTTCCTTTCTTCGTCCTCTTCTTATTATCATCTTCTTCTTCTTTCTTATTATTCTTCTACTGTATTCTTCTTCTTTTATATTTCTCTCTGTCCCCGCGCTCGCCTGAACTTTTTTATATCTGGGGTTGATTATCCATGGAAATTGAGGCACATGAGCTACCCTACACGAGCACTTGCAAAAACAATTTTCATGAGAGATAAGCCATTGTTGAGGATATTTCTATGAAAACTAAACGCCAAAGATGTCTCAAAACGTGCTCGGCTTGGTCTCCTCTTGATCATCTCTTACTTCGAGATTATGCTGAGGTCTGCTGGGCTACTTTTATTATCTCTCCCTGAACCCCGAATTTTATTATCCCCTAGTGTTTATTCTCACGGGCATGAGGTTATCCAGGCGCATCCAACCGTGGTGACGAGAGACAGATAGCGGCCCCAGAATCTTTTCCTCTTCTGGTCCTCCTTCTCCGTCCCAGCTCCCTGCCCGAGTCCTGGTCACCATCTCGCCCTCCCTGCCTGGGATGAGCACCTTGCAGAACGCATTGCCCTCTATGTACGGCAGCTCGTTGCCGCTGCAGACCTTCACGAAGAGCCTCCTCGCGTCATCGGGCGGCGGCGGGTATGCCACCACCAGGACCTGTCGGAGGCGAGAGCGCGGAGGAGGGGGACGAGACGCGGGAGGCGGCGAACGATCGAGAGGAAGCGCGGGGCGGAGGAAGGCAGGGCCCGACCGATCCGTACGGCGTAGGGTGGGCAGCTGGGGCTACCGCCTGTGCCGAACAGCACCGCGGCAAAGCCTCTTCCCTCCACTTCCTCCCCTCCCCTCCCCTCCCTCCATACGGACGGACGTAAGGCAGAAGAACGCCCTTCAAGACCATGAGACCCTCCGCCGCCCAGAACACCCCAAGCTATAAGATCGCCGAGGGTACCCCCCTGGGGATGCACACAAACATCTAAACAAGCATGAAAAACACTAGGATACCCTCCCCAAGCCGACCTCGACCTTATTCCTCGGGCCGACCGTACTGACGATTCTGGCTTGCATATGCTTGCATGATACCGGAGAAAAGCCCTAATCAGATTTGTTTAATCTTCCAATTGCTCCCTTTGTAATCGGGCTATAGGGCGGGCTATAGGGCTATAGGGCTATAGGGCTATCGGGCTATAGGGCTATAGGGCTATCGGGCTACAGGGCTATAGGGCTATCGGGCTATAGGGCTATAGGGCTATAGGACTGTGACCTATAGGGCCCTAGGGCTATAGGGCTATGGGGCTATAGAGCTATATGGGCTATGGGGCTATAGGGCTATAGGGATATAAGGCTATTAGGGCTATAGGGATATAAGGCTATAGGGCCACAAGGCTATAGGGCTATACAGCTATAGAGCTAAGGGCTATAATTAGGGCTATAGGGCTATGGGCTATTGGGCACCAGGGCACCCCCGGGCACCCGGGCACCCAGGCCCGGCCACCGAAATCGGCCACGCACCTCACCGGCCACCCGGGCACCGCCGGGCACCCAGGCACCTGGGCACCCGGGCCCGGCCACCGAAATCGGCGACGCACCTCACCTAACCCTTTAATCCGCTAGGACCCCTACAGAGGCAAGCTCTGATTGGGGAATATCGCTACCATCTTGCACGAGAGGAATCCGCAGCATCTGGCACAGAGACGCTCGCATCGCCTATCGCGCACTAGTGGCCGCGGCTTCCGGATTACCGTCAGCATGTGCCTGGGACCGATGAGAACCTTCGCCTGCGCCTGAACCTTCATCTGCGGCCCCATTCTGAGCAACCAAGGGCTAGGGGCACCAGTGCCAATGCCCAACGCCGTTCCTGTTATATCTAATGGAGGAATAACCCAATCAAAAATGTCCTGGACCCCCACCCGGACAAGCCATGCTGATTAATGGCGACAAAACGGCCTACCCTGGACAACCCTTTTGACTACCCAGCGGGGATCCAGACAACCCCCCTTGGACAAGCCTCCCTGGGATTTCTTCCACAAGATATACTAGTGATGGCACCCTCGGACCAACCAAGAATATTGATGCTCGTTATCTTTCGCCAAGATCAGCGACGTGCAACACCAAACTGCATACTTCCGGCTTCGTCTGATCCATACGCTACTACGACGACCAATCCTGACAACGTGAGCCCACCAGGGTGCTATCATACTGCTAGAGCAGCAGGCAGCAAGAACGACCCACCAGGACTCGCTCCGCCAAACAATGTTAGGCACTACATCACATGCTCAATGATGTGGGACGTCCGTCAGCTCCAGAAGCGGCACAGGGTCAACGCCAAGCAAGACTACCTGAAGGACAATCAAGCCCCCTCAAAACGAAGCAATATGACCACCATAGAGGCTACCCGCACCGACATGAAAGCTGAGCCCAACAGACGCACGGCCCAGGGAACACCCAGCTCGCCGACAGCGTCTACCAACGACGCTGTGATCACGGAACACAGGGACACCAGTCTCGACTGTCCTCGAATCGCGCACCACCAGGTTAGCGACGACCCCTTACAAGATCCTGATGATGATGATCGCGGCACGGCCGACGACCCCTCCCAGGATCCAGATGACGGGGCGAGCATCGATCAAGTCCGCATAGTCCACGGACCGCAAACATGCTGAGACTGCATGAGGACAGCGGAGGAACATGGCTTGCGCCACGACCCTCATCCAGCCACAGCACACGGCGGTCCTATGGCCACCATGGGAAGAAGAGTGTGCTGCTTTTTAAGCTTGGATGGGATAGTGTATTGCGCGCGCAAGATCGTGGGAATACAGCACCACAACTACGCACCACTACTTCGACCCACACGCGCGGATACTGCACCGCTGGAGTTCAGACGCCAAAAGGAAGCCTACGACATCTGCCCCACCATGAGGTGGCACGCCCACGCCACGCGCGCGTGTGAACGCAGGAGATCCGACAGGCTCGCGTACGCAGACCGCGGCGTCTATCTGGCCGACTACATTCACCACTGCCACGGGGACGAACACGTGGCAGCCCACTGATGGCTTCAACAACACTTCTTTTGATCCGCGGGTCGAGAGCGAGCCTCTTCCGGTCGAAGCTGAGCGGGCCGCGCACAGCTTTAATTGACAGAGGGAGGCTTCAACAACACATCAGCGGGCTACCCGCCGCCGACGCATACCGCGCCTCTGCCCCCGCCCCCGCCAAGGCTGCCACTGGACGTCCCCGTCCCGCCTCCGCCCGAGTGAAAGAGGACGGCGGCCGACGCTCCGGTTCCCCGGACCCCACTGGGGGAGGCGCCACTGGACAACGACGCCTTCACGGAAGACACGTCTGAAGGTGACCTGGAGGCACCAACACTGCCAGCGGCACGGTCGGACACCGACCACATCTTCGACGGAAGCAGACTGGAGACGCGGACCAATGCCGACTGCCCCGTGGAGCATCCTTTGCCTTTGCCGCCGGACCGATTGCTGGAGGCGCCCCGTCGGCAACTGACGCTGGGCAGACCGTGCCAACCGACGGCCCATGGCAGATGGATGTGCATGAAACCACCGATCCACACGATTGCTCGCCACTCAGCAAGCCCGCCACCACGCTCGTTGACTCTATGTACGGTGCCTTTACCAAGACAGGCACCATCGAGGGTTTCGTATGCTTCCTCTGCTGAGAACAAGTAGCAACAGACGATACGGTCGACAGACAGCTTACTTGTCATTCCCCTGGCTGGCAACCAGGCCAAGATGGGGTACCCCCCCGCAAATGCCACTTCAGCGGCCCATGCGAGCCGCAGCCACCTCATCATCTCGGTTTGCCATCATCAACCTGGGGGACGGCCAAGAAAAGCCCACCGAGCAATCGCGACCCTGGCCCGACCCACACGAGGCCCGCACTAAGAGCGGCCAGCTCGAAGAGGCGACCAGTGAGCACCACAGCAACGAGTAACCAAATCGGCCAACCCAGCGGTAACACCACTGTGAGGACTTGCAGGCACTCCGCCTTGTGCGCACTAGCCCACCTGCTCAGGGTTGCCAGAACGTGGGCCGTGCGAGCATGGGGCTGGCTTCGCGCCTACGTAACGCTCCCCTGGGGGGGCTATGCTCCTCTGCTCGCTGATCGCCACCTTTCGCGGCATCGCTTCCACTACCAGCGTCCGAACGAGCGAATGGTGCCCAGGCCACGGACCGATGGTAGCCTGGTTGCGAAGGTGCTGCGGAAGAGGATCCTGGGTCAATGCGCTCACCATGCCGAGCGCCCAACCTCTGACCTCCAAACGCCGCTGGTTGCGAATCAAGCAGCAGAGGTTGCCCTGCCCACGGCCGCCATCAACGCGATACGGGCCATTCTCAGGCCACTATGCATTGGCGGCGCGCGCCAGGGGGTAGGGGGAGGGGGGAAGGCTTCTTAGGAAGCTTCTTACAAGGCGCCGGTCTCACATCTACGGAAAAGGACAGCGCCTTCTAAGAAGCAGATGTGCTTATAAAAAGCCTTCCCCCTCCCCCTACCCCCCTCTGCGCGTGGCCTAATGGAAGAGCGCGGCAACCCGCAACGGACGCCCGTGCAGCCGCAGTCGCAATGACAGCCCACGCCAAAGCGCCGGAGAAGCACCACAATCTGGAGTCGGCCGCGTGGCGCGAGCTAGCACCCGACACCCCGACACCTGCTGACAAAAGAGAGCCGCAACCGCCAGCCCCGCGCACGGTTCACCACTCGGCGCTCGACTCCGATAGGCTCACTTCTGTAATACTAAGACGAAGCCAGGGCGATGATAACACCGGATCAGGATAAATCGAGAATCTCTGAGATCTGGCGGCTCCGGAGGATGTATCGGGCGCCGCGGCCTTATCAGAGCTTTCTGGAACGCTCTGAGAGCGTTCTGGAACGCTCTGGACCCGTCCGGTGTACCGTCCATGACCTCTTTTCCAGACAGGCACGTTAAGGCCCACCAGAGACCACCGAGCGCCCCAGGCGCCAGGTCCCCTTCTCGACACGATCAGAGAGAGAGAGAGAGAGAGAGAGACAGAGAGAGAGGGAGAGGGAGAGAGAACGAGAGAGAAAGAGAGAACGAGCGAGAGAGAGAGGAAGAGAGAAACAGAGGAAGAGGATGAAGAGGGGATGGAGGCGGTGGAGGAGGACCTGTGGAAATCCGAGACGCGTCCACAATGTCGGGGCAAACCCTTCCCCCACGCTCCCGTTTCTTAGAATCATACGAAGATTTGCTTTGATTGCGGGAAGTGGCCCATCAGAAGGTAGCCGTCTGAGATCCCTCAATCGTGCCAAAACACCGTTCACTCGGACTGCACCGCCGCGGATCCACACGTGACTGCTGCGTCCTGGCAACCCTGGACAGCGCCACGGCACAATGCCGGGGACTTCAACACCACGACTTGGCGTGCCTGCTGCGTCCTGGCGTTCCGAAATCGTGACACATCATGTTCAAGGGGCCCCAGAACACACAAATAAATGCACACACATAAAAATGTTCCCCATATCTTCCCATATTTTCTAGGTCTTTGTCTTCCCCCCCACTTCCCATATTTTCGCATACTTTCCGGGGGATCGACACTTAATTGTGTCTGTGCGTTTCTTTCCCTCCTGACATGCTTTCTTTTCCCTGGGGACCTCGGCCACATACGAGCCCTGGCAGCAGCTGCTGCGAGCAATCGGCTCGAATGTGCGCAGCGCGGGGTGAAGACCCCATCTTGAGAACGACCCGCCCTCCCACCCTTTTGAAGCAGCTGCGAGCTGTTACGACGAATGCGCGCGGCGCTGACTGGGGAATCGAACGTTGAAGACGGCCCGCCTTCGATCTGCGAAGCTGGTGCAAACTCTAAAGCGAATGCGCGCGGCGATCACGCGATAACCAGATTTGGAAGCCACCCGCCGTCCATCCGTGAAGCTGTTGCACGTTGTTTTGGTGAGTCGATTGCCAATTTCAAGTTTCTGATTCATAGATGAACGAAAATTCACGCGAATCGCCTGGCCACCCCTACGGATGCGTCTGGGGATGCGATACAGAGAAGTTGCGTATAAGGAGGAGATATGGAGGAGAAGGAGGAGGAGGAGGAGGAGGAGGGGAAGGAGGAGGAGGAGGAGGAGGAGGAGGACGGAGAGGAGAAGGAGGAGGGGGAGTGGGGTGAGTAGAAGGGAACAGCGAGGGAAGGAGAGGGAACAACATCAGCAGCGGGTGGGGGGGAAGAGGTGGGGGACGGAGAGGAGGAGAGGAGGAGGGCCAGGAAGAAGGGAGGAAAAGGAGGCGGCAAACGGGGCCCAAGGGCACCACGCGTGCACCGGCAAGGGGGAGGGGGCGGCCTTCACCTCGAGCGTCGCCGGGATCCCGTCGTCGGCGTCCAGCTCCAGCTTTCCCTCGGCGGGGCTGGGGGGGGTCTGCGGAGCGAGACGCTCCTCCTCCTCCTCCTCCTCCTCCTCCTCCCTCCTCCTCTCCTTCCTCCTCCTCCTCCTTCTCCTCCTCCTCCTCCTCCTCCTCCTCCGCCTCCTCCTCCTCCTCCTGCTCCTCCCCCTCCTCTTCCTCCTCCTCCTCCTCCTCTTCCTTTTCCTCCTCCTCCCTACCCCGCGCCCATCCCCGCCCCCGTTGCCCTTGTGGAGTGGGGGGGGGGATGGAGGGAGGGGAAATAACATGAGGATGCGAGACAAGAGGGAGCAGGAGGAGGGGGTGGATAAAGATAAGGATAAGGCCCTCGGGGTCTGAGCTGCTTCGCCCACCAAAAGGTAGGACCCCAGGGTAAACGTATGGACGCAGGCCCCCTTTACTACTGGCTTTCTGGGGCTGCCTGGTGCGCGCGGCCCCCTACCCTGTGGTGGTGGGCCGCTACGCCGTAGCAGGGGGCCCTTGCCCTGATGGGCTGGAGCTGACAATGCAGGCGGGCGGGGGTGCCTCCCCGTGGAGGCGGGCACCCGCCCGCTGAGAGCACTCCCCCCCCGCACTCCCCCACTCCCCCCACTCTCCCCGCTCCTCGCTGCGGGCGCGCTGCGGCAACGTAATAAAGGAAACGATGGCCTGCCCTGCTGCTGGACCGAATTGTGATGGAGCCCGCTTGCCTGCTAGTGCCGCATACGTAGTCGGCCTCATTGGCAGGTTAGTGCTGACGGACTGTCGCAGGCTGGCTCGAAAAAAAATGGGCAGGCTGCTGGCTGGATTCATTGCCCACGACATGCAACCCAGCCCCCACCCCGCCTTCCGGGCGACCGATGGGTCGCGGAGGCGGAGGTCCCCGCTCGGGCTCGGAGCTGTCGGCTCCGCTGGGATGCCTGACGGGGTGGGGGCTGGAGCTGCAGCTGCGTCGGCAACACCTTTACGTGCGGCTTCCACCCCTGGATGCTTTTGCTCGGCGTTGGGCGCTTGGGGCGCTGCTGCGTGCCGTTGTTGTTCGCCTGCTGCAAGCTACTGAGCCCGCTCTGGTCGACCGTTTTTCCCGTCGTCGTAGCCCCAGCCATAGTTGCTCTCTGCCCATTTGGTGTAGCAGTCCTCGATCTCGTCGATATGGAGCCTCTCGGCCCTCTGTGGAGCCTACTCTGGCTGCCGAGGATGATCCCGACGCCGCGGCAATGCTCGATGGCCTTGCCGTCCTCGTCTAGCTGCTGCCCGAGTAGTTCCGCCACGTGGGTGCGCTCGATCTCCTCATAGTGGTTCGGGCTCCTGCTGGCCGTGATCCTCGTGAGACTCATCGTTCGGCGCTCCTGCTGCTTGTGCAGGCCGTAGAGGACCATCTGGTTGTGCTGGATGGTGTCGTCGTACTTCGCACTGGTGCTCTGCAGCGTCTTGTGGCCCAACTCCAGGCGGTACTGCATGGTTCCGAAGGCCTTGTCACCTGGGCCTCCTCCGCGCTCAACGGGCTTCTTAATCGCAACCTCCTCCGTCTCAATCGCCGACTCCTGCGCTGGAGTGGGGCTCGGCCGCCGCGGCCGCCGCCCAAGCTGTCGGGCTGCGCAACTGCGCCATGCCAACAGCCAGGGTGTCGGTACCAGCTTCAACTCGTCCCACGCGTGGGACGACGCCGTAAGCTCTGGTCGAATCGAACAAGCTGCGGTGGGAAGCGGACCTGGTAATGTTGGAAACGGAACCTGTCGCCTGGTTTCTGGCCTGACCTGGTTGGTGCCTCAGCCGGGGAACACAACATAGTAGGAGGGAGCAGGCGTGGGTCCGTAGTTGCGTCGGTGGTTGTGGGAGAAGGCGGAATGTCAGGAAAATACTGAGTCCTAGTCGTTCCAACTCCTGGTACTTAATGTCCTGATTGGTCCTGGTTCTGCTTTTCTTGTGTCTCCTGAAGCTCCGTAGTTGCTATCCCTTGTGAGGCCCTTCATTTTGTCCCCCCCCTTCTGGTGGGTGGAGTGTATCACCGATGTCGGTCCGCAGTCGTCGCATTTTGGTTACCATACGTAGTAGGTCCGCTCGTGCTTGTACATATCTGCCGTAAGGTCCTGATTCCACTAGCTGTCTGCCTAGTCCTGCAAGTGGGGCTAATGTGCTCAATAGCGATGGAGGCAATAATGGGGGGACGCGGCTGGTTAGACCGTAACTATGAATGTAGGCTGGCAAATTTTGCGGCCACCCTTATCTCATTGTGGACCCATGGCCTGATCATATGCCCTCGGGCGTAACTCCCGGACGTAAGTAGCCATGCTTCGTAGTTCCGCCATGCGGCCCCCAAATCGTGACGCTTCGTCGCTGAACATCGCAAACCGCGAATCAACATAACCGTCGCGCCCTGACAATTCTGAACCGTTTCAAAACATGTGACATGTATGTTCGCCGTTTCTGTTATGTTCGCCGTTTCTGACAATTCTGAGCCGTTTCTGGTATGTTAGCCGTTGGAATCACTGACACTCTAAGGAGGAGGGAGGGGAGGAGGCGAAGGAGGAGGAGGAGAAGGAGGAGGAGGAGGGGATGGGGATGGGGATGGGGATGGGGAGGGGGAGGGGGAAGAGGAGGAGGAGGAGGAGGCGAATGAAGACAATGAGACAGGATGGCGCATGGCGAGATGGAGGCAGGGGTGGGACGGGGAAGTACGAGGATGAGTAGCATGAGGAGGTTGAATGGAAGGAGAAAGGGGGAAAGGGGAAAGGGGGGGAGAGACACAGCTGCAGCAAGGAACATGATAGGGAGCGGGGAGGAGGAGGAGGAGGAGGAGGAGCACCAGTGTAAACCTTAGAGGCATTAGCGATGTTGGAATAAACCATCCCTCCAAGCTCCCCCATTCATAGGCCCCTACAACGGTTCATTTCCGTTGGGGGAACTGCCTCGTTGGAAAACAACCGTTTGAAGACCCTGCAACATGCCAAAACATTGTTCTCGGGATTCCAACGCCACGGATCAAACTGACAGCTGCGTGTTGACTATCCAGAACCGTAGCAAGACGCCATTCCTGGGACTTCAACGCAACGAAGCAACGTAACTGTTGCGCCCGCATAATTCTGAATCCCGTCAACACAATATTTCTGGTACGTTAATGATGGGAACCCGTGAAACTCCTTTCTTTTGGTAAGAAAACGAATTTGCGCGGCGCTAGGGCGAGAACCACATTTTGAAAATGACCCTCCCTCAATCCGTGAAGCCCTTGCAACTTTTTACAACGATTATGCGCGGCGCTAAGGCGATAACCACATTTTGAGAACCACCCGCCCTCAACCCGTGAAACTCTTGCAATTTTTGTGCGACGAATGTGCGCCGCGCTAAGGCGAGTCACATTTTGAAAACAACCCGCCCTCGGTCCGTGAAGCTCTAGCAAATGTTTGAAACGAATGTGCGCCGCGCTGAGGCGATAACCACATTTTGAAAACCACCCGCCCTCAATCCGTGAAGCTCTTGCACATGTTTGAAACGAATGTGCGTGGCGCTAAACGAAGCCACATTTTGAAAACGACCCGCCTTCAATCTGTGAAACTCCTGGAAGTGTTCAAACCGAATGTGCGCCACGCTCAAGCGAAAACCACATTTTGAAAACCACTCGCCCTCAATCTGTGAAACTGTTGTCACTTAAGCTTCAACATCCTAGTTGATGACGGAATCTCAAGCGAAACGCCCGGCCCGCCCTAAAAACTGGCGTCGGGGTGCGACAGGGAGAAGTTATTTAGAAGGAAAAGGAATGGAGGAGGAAGAGGAGGAAAAGGAGGAGGAGCAGGAGGAGGAGGAGGAGGATAAGGAGGAGGCGAGCGTTAGAAAGGAGGAGGAGAAGGAGAAGGGGTGAAGAGGGAGAGAGGGCGGGAAGGGTGAGGAACATGCCGCTTCACGATCTCCGCGGCCCTGCCTCGAAGCCCCCCGTCTGGAAGCTCGTGTGGTCGAGGGTGCAGCTGCCCAGCAGCTCCGACACGATTGCAGGGCCACCGTCTGAGGGGGCAGGGTTGATGGGGCTGGCCACAGCGAGGGGGGGGAGAGACGAGAAGAAGAGGGGGGGGACGGAGGGGAGGAGAGATGCCGTGGCCTTCGAGCAGAAGCGCCCAACCCTACGAGGCCCCGAAACAAGACAGGACAGGACACCTCGCGGCGCGGTGCTCGGGGCCTCCGCTCTGGGCGTGTGCACAAGCACCGCTCCGAGCAGACCGCGCCACTCGTGCGGGGTCCGGGGAGGAGAGCGCCTCTTGCGCAGGCCGCCGTGCCTCGGCCGCCCACTGTGCAGCCACGGGCCTTGAAGAATAGGAAGCGCCATACACATGAACTTTTGGCGCTCCGTGCGGATTTCTTGGATCCGCGCCGGACCCCCCTCCCTGGCGCGCGGGGCGCGCCAGCTGCGGCGCCGGAGGCGCCGACGGGGGGGCCCAGCGCAGATCCAAGAAATCCGCACGGAGCGCCAAAAGCTTATGCTCATGGCGTTTTTTAATCTTCGAGTCCCGAGACCCGGTAATTCAGGGCCCCCCGAGGCCGAAAGTCGCGAAAACCCCCCCGTCGTGATTTTTCCACAACGCGAGGAGTTCTGGGATCTGGGCCAGGCACGCCTCGGGCGACGCAGGCACCCACCGACGCTCCATCGCTTCACGGCCGGTGCGCCGGGGCAGGCGGCAGGACGGCCGAAGGAGGCAAGCGCTACAGCGACGCACATTGGGCCCAGAGAGCCGGCGCTCCCAGCAAAAATTGGGAGCGGGCGATGGCCTCCTCCTCCTCCTCCTCCTCCTCCTCCTCCTCCCCCTCCTCCCCCTCCTCCTGCTCCTCCTGCTCCTCCTGCTCCTCCTGCTCCTCCTGCTCCTCCTGCTCCTCCTCCTCCTCCTGCATTCCTTCTCCTTATGGATAACTTCTCCCTGTCGCACCCCGACGCTAGTTTTTAGGGCGGGCCGGCCGTTTCGCCTGAGACTTCCTCACCATGTATGGCTCTGAATCTTAAAAAGTGACAACAGCTTCACAAATGGAGGGCGGGTGGTTTTCAAAATGTTGCTCTCGCCTTAGCACCGCGCGCGTTCCCTTTAAACATTTGCAAAAGTTTCACGGATTGAATGGGCTCGTTTTCAAAATGTGGCTCTCGCCTTAGCGCCGCGCACATTCCTCTTGAACATTTGCAAGAGCTTCGCGGATAGAGGGCGGGCCGTTTTCAACATGTGGCTCTCGCCTTAGCGCCGCGCGCACTCGTTGTAACAAATCGCAAGAGCTTCACGGATTGAGGGCGGTTCATTTTCAAAATGTGGCTCTCGCCACAGCGCCGCGCATGTTCGTTATAAACATTTGCAAAAGTTTTACGGATTCCTATGATCAGCGTACGAGAAATGGTGTTCTGGAAGGATTCAGGATTATGCGGGTGCAACAATTATGTTGATCCGCGGAGATGAAGTCCCCAAACGGCGCTCTAGCACGATTCCGGATCGTCAAGACGCAGCAGTCAGGTTGATCCGTGGCGATGACATCCCGAGAACAAACAATGTTTGGGCATACTTCAGGATCTTCAAACGTTTGTCTTCCAACGAGGCAGTTCCCCCAATGGACATGAACCGTTGTGGGGGCCTATGAAGAGGGAGCTTGGAGAGAGGGTGAATTCCAATATCGTTGATGACTCTTGGATTTACACTGGTCGTCCTCCTCCTCCCCATCCCCTTCTCCTCCTCCTCCTCCTCCTCCTCCTCCGCCTCCTCCTCCTCCTCCTCCTCCCCCTCCTCCTCCTCGCCCTCCTCCCTGTCCCTGGGACAATCACACAAGGACGCAAGACGAACAACTGGCCCTAAAGAAATGGTCCAAACCTCCAAGGCCCACACATCGAAACATTTTGGGCAGCTGGGTGCCTGGGGAAGCATCTCTTCGTTTTCTCATGGCGCTGTTTGGTGCTGAAACCATCCCGGGGGAGGGCGTCACCACAAGCAGCGCATGATAATGTGGTGTGAGGGTTGGAAGGGTTTGCGCTGGCGGTGCAAGCGTGGCACTTCCTTGCGGATCTGCGTCTTTGGTTCCCACTGGGATCTGTTCGAGGTCGGTTCTGCTGACGCGCAGAACATTGCAGTGCATTGGCTTTCGGGCTGCGCAAGACCAGGGATGGTTGCCTCAGAAGCCTGGCAGGGCAGAATGTCCAGAGCCCTGTCCGCGCAGCGGTGCAAGGCGGAGTGCGGCTGGAATATTGGTAGTGGTTGGCAGCGGCGCTTGCGGCCTGCTGAGGACGCAGCCACGCGGCGCCACGGCTGCTGGGCAAATATGGCTCTGGAAGATGGAGCCTGTGCAGGTGGAGAAACAGGTAGGTGAAGGTGCGAAGAAACCACCTTCGCTGTCGTGTGGGCTCTTGGGAGCACTGGGCCTCGAAAGTCGGAGGGACTGAGAAAGGAACCTGTTTTCTTAACATTGGGAGGCCGTCTTAGGCATCTTGAAATCTTTACGGGGCGTCCTGGGGCCTGCAGGAGCCTCTCGACGGCCTCGTGGGGACGGCTTTTGGCCTTGTGGGCGCTGGTGGACCTCCAGGGGTGCTCTTGAAGCCCGCTTGGGCTCATCGTGGGCGCTGTTGGGGCCATGTTGGCGCTCTCTTGCGCCGTCGTATGGCCGTTTTGGAGACATCGTGGGCCGTCTTGAAGGCCCTGAAGCCCGAAAGGCCGAGAATGCGAAAATGAGTGTTGAAAAGCCTACACACTAAGGGAGAGGAGGAGGGGGAGGAGGAGGAGGAGGAGGAGGAGGAGGAGGAGGAGGAGGAGGCCTCTTGCTAGACTGTTGGGGCACTCGTGGGGCCCACTGGGAGTTTGCTGGGGCCTCTTGGAGGCAGGCGTCTTAGGGGCCCCCTTGGACCTCTTGGGATCCCCTGGGGGCTTCTTGGAGGGCCTCTTTGGCCATCTTAAGGCATGTCTGGCCCGTCTGACGGCGTCGGAAGCAAGCTTGGGGGCCTTTCTGTACCGACTTGGGGCCCTCTTGGGGCGCTTCAGGGCCATCTTGGAGGCCATCTTGGACGTGCTGCAGGCCTCCTGGGCCGTCTTGGGGCCCTCTTCGGCCGTCGTGGGGCTATATTGGAAGCCTCTTGGACGACCTTAAAGTACTCTTGGGGGCGCTTGCCCCGTTGTGGGTGGTCGGCAAGCCGGAAACAGGGAAAATGCCAGAATCCTTGGACAACCAACGGAACGCACTTCATGTTGACTCCTTGGGGCCTTGGGGGCCTGCTGGGCCATCTCGAGGCCATGTTAGGCAATGTTGGGTGCATCTGAGGCCGCTTTGGAAACATCTTGCGGCTATCGTGGGCTTCTCGGGGCCCCCAAGATGGTCTACGAGGCATGTTGAGGGCACTGGGCAAAGGGAGTGGGAACTTCCTGAGCTGTTTTGAAACCTTCTTGGAGCTCTGTGGGGGGTGTTGGCGTGGTCCGTCCACTGAGAATTTTCCAAGGCGTTTTCGAATGTGATGTAAGATAAAGGAATATCCGACATCGTGCCCCCTAGCACGTTGAGGCGTGAAATAATGCCAAAGTCAGCCTCGTAGGGCTTTTGAATTCTACTCAAGGATGGCCCCTGCTTCTACCCCAGACTGCCGTGCGCCCTACCTACTCACCGAAGCCACTTCTCCCGCGCCAGCTAGACGATGGCGCACTTCCGTGCCACTTCTCCCGTGCCCAAACCACCATTCCGTGCGTGCCCACTCGAGGATGGTGCATTTCCCGCATGGCAACTAATGGCTGAACTCCCCTCCCCCGCGTGCCCGCTCGATGATTGTGCACTTCCCGCATGGTAGCAAATACCTGAACTCCCCTTCCACGCCTGACCGCTCGTGAATAATGCACTTCCCGCATGGCAGCTAACGCCTGAACCCTCATTCCACGCGGGCCTGCTCCAGGGTTTTGCACTTCCCGCATGGCTGCGAACTCCTAGGCCCCCCATCTCACGTGCACCCGCTCGAGGAGCGTGCACTTCCCGCATTCCCAAGCACTGTTCCAAAGCCTCCCAAACCGCAATCCCCAATCAAACCAACTGGATACGTGTCCCGTCCTTTCTAGACGGCCCGCGCAGGCAACCAAGGACACCAAGATGGCCCAAGATGCGTCGAAGATTGCCCAAGATGGCTCTAAGAGAGCCCACCATGGCCAGAAGAGGACCCCCAACAGGGTCAGAAGAAGCCAATCTCATTGAATTCCCTGGGGAATTTCAAGTGCTTTCTCCTTCTCGTCTCTTTGGGCTGCCGCCAGCTCAAGAAAGCCCAAGAAGAATCCACGATGGCCCAAGAGGTATCCAAGACGGCCCCAACACGGCCCAAGCGGGCCTCCCGTGGGACCCAAGACGGCCTTAGAAGGCCCTTCGGCGGCCCAAGACGGCGCCAAGACGGCCCCGCAACGGCTCCCAGACACCCACCATGCGACCAAGAACGCCCTAAGACTGCCCAAGCGGGCCCCAAGGGACCCCCAAAACTGCCTCACAGGAAGCCAGGACAGCCCCAAGGCGGCCCAAACGAGTTTCATCATCAGCATCAGCATCAGCATCAGCATCAGCATCAGCATCAGCATCAGCATCAGCATCAGCATCAGCATCAGCATCAGCATCATCATCAGCATCATTATCATCATCACCACCAACATCAACATCAACATCATCATCATCATCATCACCAACATCATCATCATCAACGTCACCCTCAACCTCATCATAATCCTCATCCTCATCCTCATCATCATCACAATCAGCATCATCGTCATCACCGTTATCATCACCATTATGATCAACACCATCATCACCACCATCATCATCAACAACATCATCATCAACATCATCATCAGCAACATCATCATTAGCATCAACACCAATATAACCTAATTAACCGTCACCAACATGGTGATCGTCGTCGTCGTCGTCGACATCGCCGTTGTCATCGTCATCATCATCAGCATCATCATCATCAACACCATCATCACCATGACCATGACCATGACCATCATCATCGACATCATTATCACCACCACCACCAGCATCAGCATCAGCATCAGCATCACCATGACCATGACCATGACCATGACCATGACCATGACCATGACCATGACCATCATCATCATCATCATCATCATCATCATCATCATCATCATCATCATCATCATCATCATCATCATCATCATCATCATTATCTCATCATCATCATCATCGTCGTCGTCGTCGTCGTCACTAGCCGCATCATCTTCATAATCCTCATGATGCTGCTCACTGTTCTCCCAAGCCTGGAAACATGAACCGTAACGCGTGACGGCCTCCCGTGCACGCTCGAACAGCCGTCACCCAGAATGCTGGGCTGGCACGGTGTGTGTAAAACGCTTTTCCGTTGGAGTCGTCGTCGTCGCGTTGTCGTCGTCGTCGCCAGCCCCAGGGAAATTGAGAAATAAGGAAAAGTCGTAGTTAAATCGATTCCATTCCCTTTTCCCTTCCCTGACGGGGAGTTGGGGGTGGGGTGGTGGGGGTGTGTGTGGATGGGTGTGTGTGTGAATGTGTGTGAATGTGTGTGCGTGTGTGTGTGTGTGTGTGGGTGTGTGGGTGGTGGGTGGGGGGCCGGGGGCGGTGGGGGAAGGGGGGGGTGTGGAGGGTGGTGTGTGTGGAGGGTGGGGCCCCCGGTCAAAGTACCGCCGCCCCTCAGGGTCCCCGCGGGTCCGGGGGGGTCGCCAACGGGGGTCCCGGGGGAGGTCCTGCCTTCAAGGTCGGCGGCACCGGCCGTGAGATTTGCGATATAT